CTAGGCATTGGCTAAACTGCCACCAAGCTGCTGTCACAATTTAGAACATGTCAAGCACCGGGTTGGAGATGGGAAAGGGCGGGTCCCCCCCCCCCGCCCCCGCCAAGAGGGTCCGGGGCTCAGATCGCCGTGTGCAGCCACGGGGCGTCATGGGTCTGGGCCAGCACAAGCACAGGGATGAGGCCGGGGAAAGAGGGAGGCCTGGCCATCCCACGGGCCCTCTTGCTTCTCCTGGGTATGTGGCTGGACCGATCCCAGTCTGCCCCCAGTCTCCCACTGACATGAGTTTGGCCAAAGCGGGGGCAGAGAGGATGAGCCTCGCCCCTTGGAGCCGGGGCCTGGGAGGTGGCGGCCCTGGCAGTTGGGTGGTCTGTGTTCAAGAGGAAAGCTTGCGTGCCTACCTGGTTATTAATGTACAGTAATAGCAGCTCTGATGGGGAGGGGCATCGCTAATAAACACTTGGTGATTAGGGGTAATGTGGTAATTGCAGCCCTGGCTGGGGGAGTAATTGAGAGATGCAGCCCCGTGATTACACAGCCCGTGCTGCGATTTCTCTGGAATGCATGGCTCTTGGGCATGGCCTTGTTGTGTCTCCTGCCGCCCTGGATGTGGTGCCAGAGGGGAGGGCAGCTTGCCATCTCTGGGTCTAGGCCCAGGCCCCTCTCCCCCAGGAGACCCCCCCGGGGTGCTACCCACTCGGAGGCGTAAGTCAGAGCGGCCTCTCTTTGTGTGGGGGGGCTTTAAGGGGAGAGGGGGGTTAGATGTGGCCAACGAGTTCCTGAGAGCAGATCCCAGATCCAAGGGCGTATATTCCCTGGGTGCAGATTTTGGCCGAGTGAGGAGGATTGCCCTACGAGGAAGTGCTATCTGGCCACGTACCCTGGGGGCCTGCGGGGGCAGTGGGGTGCCTTAGGCAGCTCTGAAGCTGAAGCTGGCAAGCCCATGCTACACACTCTAGGGGAGATTTCCTGCCCTGGGAGAGAGCAGTGGGAGGGATGACACCCCTCACCTGCTACCCCGACGTTCTAGAAGGAAATAAAAGGTGGTCAGTCTCTGATGCCCTGACCTGAGGTACAGCCATCTCTGCACAGAGTGCAGCTCCCCAGTACCTGGAGGGTGGTTAGGGGAACACCTTGGGACAGCTGTGAGTGGGGTCTGCTCACCCGCTCAGCACCCATAGCACGCACTGCCCCTTAGTCTTGGCACTTGGCCTGGCTCCCCATCCCCTCACCTCATGATTCTGTGTGGTGCCCCCAACTTAGGTGTTCCTAGGTCATCCCTCCTGGAGGTTCAGCAGCTCCGTTTTTTTCCCGTGCACGGGGCTTCTCTTCTTCCCTCTGGCCTCTCAACTCCTGCGGGCCGCACTGTGTAGATTTACAGAGTTCATGTCTGCTCTCAGGGGTTGAAGCCCCAAGACAGAGCCCAAGCCAAGTGAATGAGCCATAAAGCAGTGGGTGAGATCAGGTGTTAGGAGATGGCAGTCAGGGAGAAAACTAGGTGCTTTGGCAAGCTCTTTATTAGACAGGGGCTGGGGACTTCTCCTCTTCCTGTTAGTTTGGGAAGGAAGGCTTCCTGACAGAGGGGGTCATCCGAGCCAGCTCAGAAGACGCATGGGAGAATGACAGCTCAGCTGCTGTAGGGACACTGGAGTCAGCGCCAATGATCTCGTCTCTCCAGAGACCCAGTGTCCCAGCCTTGGATGGTCGGGGGGACTCTGCTGACCCACCTCTCTCAGTGCACATTGGGGCAGGGAGGGGGGGTGGGGGGCAAGGAGAGCAGGTCCCAAGGCCACCTGGCCAAACAGCAGCAGAGCCAGGGCTGAAGCTGTGTCTCTGGGGTATTAGTGGTCTGGAGAGTGTTTCCCTTAAGAAGGATGGGGTCTCCCCTAGGGTAAGGGATCTAGCTTTCACTCCAAAAGGAAGAAAGTTGGAACGGGACCTCTCAGGTTCTTTGGAAGTTTGCCTAGGCCCCTATAACTCACTGACCTTGGGGAGGAAACTGTCCAGGCTCTGTGCCCCTGCCTCACCCCCTACCCCAAGTCTGGGATCCAGTCAGAGATGAGATCTGGGGATTGGACCACTTCCCAGGTTTGGGGGCCGTTGGCTCCATTTCCCCAATTCCTGTAGCCAGGAGCTCTCCTGCCCTGGGGCGAGAGGTCTGGAAGAGGAAGGGAGGCCTCCCTCACCGCCCCAGCCCCAGCACCCCCGAGGAGGGAGATGAAAGCCTGTCGTGTTCCCTTTGAAAGTGCTGGCAGGCCTCAGTGGGCCCTGATTGCTGAGCACTGCCTCCCCTGGGATTCCAGCAGCATTAGGCCTAATCCCCAGGCTCAGACACCCTTTGAAAGGAGGAAGCAAGCAGGTTTGCTGGGACAGAAACGGCAAACAGAGCTTTTTAGATGTACGGGTTTGGCCCTCTTTGAAGAGCGAGAAATAAGGGTTTCCATGCGGCTCTGGGTGTCTCTGCTCCTCGCAGCATGGGCACCCTGGGCTCTGAGGGGTCCTCAGAGATCTCAGCCTGCGGGGGCTGGGTACGGTTCTAGGCCCCCGGTGCGCGAGGGACGTATGGGGAACCGAAGAATGGTGGTGGTGATGAGGGCATCTGGGGTCGTGAAGGAGCCGGAGTGATGAGAAGGTTCAGGGTCCCCGGGATGGCCGCCCTTCTTGTGCAGGGAAGGTCGGGCAGCACACAGCTGAGGGCCCTGGCCCTGGGAGGCTGACGGAGAAACTTGAAGAAGACACACTGATGGGGACAGTTCTCCTTTGGGGGCGGACAGAAGAGTGCGGGATGCAGCCACTAACCATTTCTAGAGCGTCCAGTGGGAGGCTCCCAGCACTGTCGTCAGGAGCCGGGCTTTGGAACCATAGCTCTGGGTCGGAGTCCCACTCTGCCAGTTACTAGCCATGACGCATAATCTCTTAGTGTACTTTTCTCCATGTGGAATGGCTGTAATTGTTCTAACCTCAACATCGCTGTGATAATGTGTGCGCCACTTTGACAGGTGTTTGTTCACTCCTAAGAATGAGACCTTTCTGTGCGGTCTGAGCACATCAGTGGCATGGTGATTATTGGGGCAGCACGGGCAAAGGCTGGGCGGTGAGGGGCCGCCACGTGGACCAGGGTGGCTGCAGGGCTGGGGGGCGTGGGGGAGTGTGCGCCTCAGCCAGCGCAGAGGCCTTGATGCTGTGCCCACACGCGTTCTGTCTGAGTAGCCGAGTCAGCAGGCAGCGTGTCTGCGTGGGAGCATGGCATTGTGGGATGTCCTAGGACCATGGCTGGCAGCGAGTGGGAGTCAGGGAGAGCTTTGCAACAGAGACGTGGCGGGATTTGGCTACAGCGGGAAGGCTTTGGGTTAAACTTGGAAAACTGAGGGCGGCCATGTAGTCCCCTTCTGGAAGGGCTTTGTACCTGGGCCATTCCGAGCTGCGTGACCGGGTAAGTGACAGCGCTGCCTGTCCTGCCCCGACTCCCGGGACTGGGGGAAGGGTGGAGGGAGCGCAGCTCTAAGTGGGGATTCTTTTCCTCTGTCCTCTTGTCCTCAGCCCGGTGCTCCTGCTCGGGCCGGGGAGCTTTCCTCTGGGCCGCGTTGACGGTGGTCGTCAGCTCTGGCCTGTGCACACCAGGATTTGGGGCCTCCCAGGCCCGGCGAGGAGAGCCTGGCCTGAGGTCCCTGATTCCTGGTGCCTTACTCTGATCTCGTGGAAAGATACCGGCTTGCTTCTTTGTTTTTCCACATTGGCTCCCTCTTAGGAGCAACCAGCCAAAGAAGCAGCCAGCAGAGTGCTGGGGTAGGAGAACACAGACATGGGTTCCAGCCCCCACTCAGCCATCACAGGGCTATGTGACCTGGGCCTCAGTTTCCTCGTCTGCAGATGGGAGTAATGTTACCCAGTACCCCCAAGCCTGGGGAGGATCCACGTAAAGGACTTAACAGAGCCCGTGGCACAAAGTGACACTTGTCATCGCCATGCTAGTCTGGTCGCACCGGGCACCCCCTGGCACCCTGTCGGGACCCAGGCGCCTTCCTCCTCTCGTAGCTGCCCTCCTGCCTCCCTGAGTTGCCTCAAAGGGAAGGGGCTAGAAATGGTGTGATTTCTCTCCCGCCTCCAGCTGCCATTCTGCCCCAGAACAGGCAAGGATGAGGCCCCACTCTGGGCCATCTCTAGAACAGACGTGGAAGCTTTAATACCTTTTAATCAGACTATTAGCAGTGGAAACACGGAGCCTCTCAGCAGCAGCTTTCCCCCACTTAGGAGCTGTTTGTTAAGACTTTACATGAAGGGGAAACAAATGATACTGTGGTCATGCGGTGAATTTCAGCATGTTCCCTTAATGCTCTGTTCTTGGCTTCCTCTGCCTTCCCCTCCTGAAGACGTTCTCTGAGCTGCAGAGCCCTCAAGGAGAAGCTGGGCTGAGGCTGGCCCATCCCTCCAAGCCTGCCTCCGGGGCTCACACCCCAGCACTCCTCGTGGGCCCCGGAAGGGACAAGATGAGAGGTGGGGAGGGAGAGAAGCCCCTTGGGCCCCCGAAGCCAGGACAGCCAGGTCCCAGTGGGGCTTCAGTGCCCATCTCCCCTACCCGGCCCCCCGGAGGCTTGGCCTTGGCCCCCGGTAGCAGCCGGCTGGTGTAGCTGAACCAGGAAGGGACGGGATTGAAAAGTGGTGCGGTGCCATGGTCCTTTTTCAAAGTCAGCTCCCTCTGGCAGCAGTCTGCCAACTCTCTCCCCCTTTCTCCCGCCTCGGAGACCCCACAGCTAGTCTGCTGTGAATTGAGCGCTTGCTGTCTGCCAGGCGCCGCCAAAGGCTTTGCTTTCCTGGTCTCATGAAGAGGCATCTCTTGCCATCCCCGTCTTACGGATAGGGACATAGGTTCTGAGAATGAGCTGACCTGCCCAGGGTCCTATTCCGGTAGGTGTCAGAGCCAAGATTCAGAGCTGGGTTTGTCTGATTCCACGGTGTTCTCAACCCCCGAGCTGAACTGCCAGGGAAGAAGAAAGCGAAACGTTTCCTGAGCTCCTACTCCGTGAAGGCCAGAGTACTAAGAACTTTATATATATGATTTTATTTAACCTTGCTGTACCCATCTCCTCACCCTAAACCTTGTTTTTCAGAGTATGGGTCACAAGCCATTAGGTCATGAAATCAGTTGTGAGTCATAACCAGCGTTTTAAAAAAATGACGGAGAGCAGAGCAAAGAATATCAGAATGCCTCATACTTAAGTGTCTTATAAAACTTCTTTATTGCGTATGCATATGTTTGTGCACACACACTGGGTCATGAGGTACATGTTAATTTCTGCTGACAGTACAGTCAAAAAAGTCTGCAAAGACTGGCTTTATTAAACTGAAGCTTGGAGAAATAGTCACTTGTCCAGGGACCCAAAGCTGCCAGGTGGCTAAGGCTGTCCCTCTGTCCCAGCTCCCACTGTAGGCCTCGGAGATGGGCCCCCTTGGGGGCCGGGGGGGCGTGGGGCCTGAGACAGGGAGAAGATGGCCCCTCGGAGCCCAGTCTAGAACCCAGGAGTCCTGACTCTGGGCTCAGTGCGCCCCCTGCCTGAGGCTGTCAGCACCTGCGTCCTCCGTGTCGCTGGGATCGGCAGCTCTGCGGCCCAGGAAGCCTTCCTCAGGGTCCTGGACCCGGACCCCCCAGGGAGGCCTTGTCCCTCAGGAGACAGTGACTCAGCTCTGCGGCGACAGTGAACTGCCTGCCAGCCTCAGCCCTAGCCGGCCACCTCTCTGCAACTGCCAGCTCTCTGCCTCCCCTCGCCTCCCCTCGCCTCACCCACCCCTCCCTTCTCCCCAGCCTGGCAGCTGCGAGGTGACAGAAGCCGTGCCAGCGCAGGGCATTAGAAGCAAAGTTGCATTTACTGGGCGGCTCTGGGCTTAGAGAGGTGTGCTAATCCCTTAAGAGATGTGTGGCAGGAGATGAGAGGCAGGGAGAGCGAGGGAGGAAATCCCCACGGGGGTGTGGGCCTGGCCCTCGGCTCTAATTCCCCCCAAAGATCAGGTTGGGGTCCTGCAGGAAATGCATGGGCTCCGGAGCTTCAGAGGCAGAGAGGTGGTAATTAGGGGAGCTGCTGCCTTTGACAACAGAAGCGGTTCCGAGAGCAGAGGGGAAGGGGATCAGCCGGGCACACAGAGGAGGAGCTGAGCTATCCTAACCTGTCAGAGGAGAGTGGGCCAGGCAGGCTCTGGAATGGGAGTGCGGGGGTGGATTTCCATCCCTGCCACACTCCCTGAGTGAGGGACATGCCTTCTTTGCTGGGGGTAGTCAGCCGGGTGTCCCAGCCCCTGGCAGAGCAGTGCCCGTGCACACTCCTCAGTGGGCCCATCTTCCCCACTGGTACCCATGTGCTCCCTGCCCCGGGAGGCCAGGCCCTAGTGCCCGGGTCGTCCTGCTGTCCCTGGGCGGTGGCTGGCAGGGCGGGGGGGTTCTGCAGCCTGGTGCCCGCCCTGGCGCTCACCGATGCGTTTCCTCAAGCCACAAAGGGCATCAGGGCTTCTGCGCTGACCCCGTGAGGTCCTGAGGCCAACACTCAGTATTCCTCCTGAGGGCTAGAAATTGGCCAGTGGGGTGCAGTTGGGGACCCAATTTGAACTACAGCTGTGTGGTAACTGGGGCCCTAGATAATGCTCCTCCCAGAGCGCCCCCTTTCCCAGGGCGCCCTACACATTCTCCGAACACCGAGCCTGCCACTGGCCTGGTGCGCTGGGCGAGGCCCTCGAGCAGCCCCCAGCCGGGGAGGAGGTCCAGCCTCCCAGTCTCGGGTGGGGGGCGCTCAGCCTTTGGGACTGCTGTAGGGGCATTTTTTCTGTGTCGGGTTTCCGAGACCCGCCCTGGCTCACCGTGCTGAACCTTCTCTCCTGTCTCTTACCCCTGCAGGATGCTCGCTCTGTGGCTGCCACCACTGCCTCCCTGGGGGGCCCTCGAGCAAACACCGTCCTGGAGCGTGTGGAGGGCGCTCAGCAGCGGTGGAAGCTGCAGGTGCAGGAGCAGCGCAAGACAGTCTTCGATCGGCACAAGATGCTCAGCTAGGTGGGCCGGCGGGGTTGGGTCAAGGACCAGAGGCCACGGCTGCCAGCTTCCAGGGCTGGACAAAGCCAGAGGCCCCTTCCCCAGCCCTCGGTGCCACCCTTCCCAGGATTTCTCTTTAGAAGCCCATGGCCTTTTTCCTTCTCCTCTCTCTCTTTAGAAAAGGTGTTGTCTGCCGATGGAATCTGGGAAGAGTGGTGGGGTCCCTGATCTTGGGTTTGCCTGCTCCAGTCTTCGGGCTTGAGGGGAGGCGGTGGCAGGCCAGAACGGAGTGGAGACGCTTCAGGTGGCCTCAGGATTGGAACAGTCTGTACCTCCTTACTTCACCCCGACACCCCTTCAGCTCCAAATCTTGGGAGTGTCCTTACCCTTTGCAAGATGGAGCCGGGTCATCAAGAACTCAGTGTGTGGGAGGGAAGCAGTCAGCATGTGCCCCTTCTCTGCCTGGTTCTTCTGGCCACCTTCCTCCCGGCCCTGATACCTCAGCCCCAGCTCAGCCTGCTTCCAGCCCTCAGGACGGCTCTGATGGGGCAGCTGATGCCACTGAGCTGCCCTGTCTTCAGGGCACACCCAGACACTTGTCCCCCCCCCCCACACCCTTCCACCAGCGTACAGCAGTGTCGCTGCGCCTCGCTCCCTGTGGCCCCTGGCCCCTCACTCCCACCTCAGGGGGCCAGGCCGTCCCCCCGCCTCCCCAGGTCTGCAGTCGCTGAGCCACACAGTTGGTGGGACCACGTGACCAGGAGGCCGAGCAGCGGGTCTGAATACCACGGCGCCTGTCCTGGGATTGTCGCTCGGCTCTCATTCATTGTACCAGTGCATGGAGAGAAACGTTTGTCCTTCCGTTGTCTGTAGACCAAGGAAGCCATCATTAAATTGTCTGATTTCTCTCACTTTCTGGATTTCAAGAGGTCTAGAGCGCTGGGAGTGTTTTGCAAGTGATCTGATAAACGCTGCTTCTCAGAGAGCGGACAGAGAACGTGGTCCTTACTAGGTCCGGGCAGAGAAGCAGAGCTTAGACAGTCCCGGTGGCTGTGGCAGGGCCCACGGGGGGTCCCAGCAGAGGCCCGGGGCTCGCCAGGATTCCTGCTCGCTTGACGGGTGGGGACCGGCCCCTCACAAGCTCTATCCACTGACCCTGGGGAATTAGCCTGAGATTTGATTTGTGTTTCATCTTTGTGGGAGATTCCCCCTTAAACTCTGAACAGGGCCTGCTGTCAGTATCTTTCAGATACAGTAAAAAGTGCTTGCTGCAAAATCCATACATTTTCCCTGATGAAAACCCACAGCTATTCAGAGGGGCTGGGGCAGCCAGGAAAACAGAACGGCCTGGGAGCAGCAAATGTGCGCACCGTCAGGGACCCCCCATTCCCTCCTGGCAAGTGCAGCGCAGGGTGCGTCCAAGACCCCGCAGAAACAGTGCACCTAGAGGGACCAGGGGGGTCTAACTGAAGTTTCTATCCTTGGGTTGTGCGAACAAACAGGTATTTAGAAGCTTTGTGTGCAGAGCCCCATGCTGGTTCTTGGTGAGAGGTGGGGGCCAGGAGAACAAACGTGAGGTGGGGATTTCAGTTTGCCAAGATTTGCCCAAGTTCGAAGTCCAGTACAAGCACTAAAAGGGATGGGAGGGGGTGAACATGTAGATGGGGCTTCCGGGAAGAGCAGAGACTTGGGAGTTGGCCTTGGAAGCAAGCGAGGGACACAGCTGAGAAGGGACCAGAATGATTGTGGGATCCTGCAGAGATACGCTAAGCCAGCGTGAAGGTTTACGGTGGGGTTGACAGGAGCTACATGTGCCCCGGACGGGAGGCCAGGCAGAGGAGCCAGCCCTGGTTTCTACCGTGTTTGTCTGCCTGGTAGAGACGCAGCACCTGCTGCTCTCGAAGCCCGGTGGAGGGGGCCAATGTGATTCTTTCACAGTGGGGCTGTGTGCACTTCAAGGGGCAGACAAAATTGGGTCTTTTCTAAAGTGGGCAGATGGGTGTGTTAACTTGTTGAGAATAACCAATCCAGCAATGGGTGTCTAATGCTGTTGGGTCCCCACTAAACCACACCGCCTCGGGGAAACCTTGAGTCCTGTGTGTCTCTGAGTTTTGATTAAGTCCTGCAGATGATCCAACCAGGTTTTGGTGGTTTTAAGGATTTGATATGAAGCAAGCAGTTGTCACCATAAATAAGCCAAATATCTGGAAATAATTTAAAAAATTAGAATGACTGTTCACTTTACATAAGAATTCCTAGTAGCCAAATACCTAAATATGCTTCACCTCACGCACAAAAAATTGACCTTTAGACGACTACTGAAGAGTGTACCTCATCTTTCTATGGATGATGAAAGAACAGGGGGCCCAGCAGGAGAGTTTACTGCTTTGCTGGTCACCTGGAACAGAGATTAGGATCCCTGCCATTGATGACAGAAAAGAGCCGAAGTGACATGCTATCCCATCTCATGTGGTGCGACATGAATGTTAGTGTCATGCTCAGAAATCCTGTGTTTCCCATCAAACCCACCAGACATACTGTAATGGATTGGACCTACCTGGAAGACACTGGTTGGGTTTGGCCCCGGGGATTAGAGTCTTAGAATCGGTCTCCGTGGTTTAAGGCTAGCACTTATCCTCGTGTGGCTCAAAGAGAAGTGACACACAGGGAACGGACAGGGAGAGGCCAGCACGCTTCCTGGTGGATTCTCCTCTATTCCTCACTCAGACCCACTCCATCTCCCTTGTACTCTTTGTTTCCTTGTATCCACCATACTCATCCACCAGCAAAACCCCAACCATGGATCCACAACCCAGCCTGACTTCTCTGCTCCTCCCTGGGTAGCTCTGCTCTGCTTATGAGAGACTAGTTTCCACCCCCCACCTCCTCCCTACCTTTGGTGCGGGGGTGGGAGAGCATTAATCCTTTGGTATGAATCCTTTCTCGTGGTTCACTCTTTCTGGAGGTCACTAGGCAACCTTCCTGTATTTCCCCTTCTCCCTACCCTAGAAGATCTTACCTTGCTACTTCAAGAAAATCAAGACCAGTGGGTGTGATCTCTCAACTTCCTTACTCCCCTCTGCAAGTTTTTCTTCATACTTATCTTGGCCTCCTTTGCTGTGGTCTTGGGAATAGTATGTCCCTCCTGTTCAAAGCCAACTCACCCATCCCCTTCTTCCTGGGACCTCTATCATCTCTTCAACCTCACCTTATTTCCTGGTCCTTCTCAGCCTGTTAACAGATTCAGGTCTTCTGCCCTACAAAGAAATTTCCATGAGCTCCACATCCACCTCCTGCCCTTTCGGTCCTTCACCCCAAGCCCTCCAGAGGCAAGGTCATTGATGACTAATTGCCAGACCCAGAGGATGTCCTTGGTTCTTCTCTTTCTGCCCCCGCCCCCCACTACATTTGATACTGTGATCCTTCTTCCTTCATGAAATTCTTCACTTGGCTTCTGGGACCTTGCCTCTTTGGTCCTCCTTGCCCTTTCTGACCATCCCTTCACTTCTCCCTAAATATTTGCTATTTCTCAGGCTTCCATTCCCAGCTTACATGACTCAATCTAATATTTCATGTCTAAGTACTCTCCCTGAAAGTCTGTTCTCCTTTGTGATTTTCTGGTATTGACTTTAGAATCTCTCTCTAGCCCAGACCCGACCCTTGAGCTCCAGGCTCGTCTACCTGGCTCTCAGCTGGATCCTCCCACTGGGTGCCTCAAGCCTGTCAAATACGCATGTCCAAGATTAAGCTCATCTTTAATTGGCTTTTATATTCATTATCTGAATCGGTTGTAGCCCCACCCACCAACTTGTTCAAGCCAGAAACCTGGAGGTCATTCAATTCTTGATTCTTCCCTTTTTCTGCGATGCCTATGCCCAGTCATTCACAAAGTCCCACCAACTTGACCTTCAAGTACAGCTGACTGTTGAACAACAGGAACTGCTTTGGTCCACCTATATGTGGATTTTTTACAGCACAGTACTGTAAATGTATTTTCCTTATGATTTTCTTAATATTTTCTTTAGCTTACTTTATTCTAAGAATATAGTATATAGTACATATAACATACCAAATATGTGTTAATCGACTGTTTATGTTATCAGTAAGGCTTCCAATCAACAGCAGGCTATTAGTAGCTAAGTTTTGGGGGAGTCGAAAGTTATATGTGGATTTTCAACTGCGCAGGGGGAGAGGGGGTCGGCGCCCGTAACTCCCACATTGCACAAGAGTCAACTGTAGTTCAGGAATCTGTCCCCTTCCTCTGCCCCTACTGCCACTCCCCAGTTCACACCTTCATCATTTCTCTCAGGATCATGCCACTTCCCTCCCTCAGAACCATAAAGGGCTCCCCCACTTCCTAAGGCTTGTGGCCATGATCTGCCCATACCTCGGCCTTTAGCTCCAGAGCAAACTGGTGGAGTTGCCTGGTGGGGCCGTTGGTAGCGAGAAATTGATGGGTCCTCCACAGATGGGCTCACCTCGGGGATGTGGGCTGCAGCTGCCAGGGACACAGCTCATCCCAAGTCCCCTGCGAGGCTCAGCGTCTTGGGCGGGAGGCGTTGGCAGAAGCTGCTCGAGCCTCTCACCAGCTCCCACCGTCGCTAGCTCGCCCTGGGGGGGTTGAGGCCGAAGCAGAGCTTGGAGTGATGGAAGGGCTAGAAGGGAGGGTGCCTAGACCTTTGTTTCGCTTCCTCTTCCTGACCATTTGCTCTCCAGGCACAGGGGACTGCGCCGGGCTCCGGGGAGCCAGCAGGTGGGGGTGTCAGAGTGTGGGCCTAGAAGCTGGAAAGGACCTGGCTGCTTTGGCCAGCCCCTCACCCCTCTGAGCCAGCCCTGCCCTCTGTAATAGTACCATGGCCCAGGGCCTAGCCCGTGGCAAGCGCTCCTCAGGAGATGGCTGCCATTATGAGGGCCTGCACCAAAGTCTCCCCCTAAGATCAGTCCTCCATTTAGTAAAGCGAGCGGGGCAGTTAAAAGCATGACCTCTGAGCCAGTAGCCTGGGTGCAGATGCTAACTCTGCCACCTACTGGCCAGGCAACTGTGAGCACATTTTAAAGCCTTACGTGCCTTTGTTTGCTCACTGTGAAATGGGGGTAATTACCTCCTTCCTTGGGTTGTTGTAAGGAATAAATTGTTAATGTGTATAAAACACTTAGAACAATCCTCGAACGTAAATAAGCACCTGGTGAGTATTGGCTCTTCTTACTCACTTCACTGTCATTATTAGTACAGCATAACCTCCCCATCCAGTCAAGGCTTTGTAGATTCACCAGGGAATTCCTACTTGGCATGATGGCGGCCCCTAGGGCTCCAGGAAACCCTGACCTCCTCAGCTAAATCCCACTCCTGAAGTTCTGCTCAGAACTCCCTGGGGGTGATTATTTGGTGGCTCTCTTGCCCAGTGACATCTCTGCTCCCTAGGCTTTGAGCTGAGCTCAGAGTCAAGGCCAGAGGCAGCCCGACCCTGTGCGCCCCCGCTCCTCTGATTACTGCATCGGGGTGGGCACGGAGGGCAAGGCTCCAGGCTGGGAGTCAGGAGCTCTGGTCCCGCCCTGGCTCTGCTGCTCTTTGCTGGGTGACCTCAAACAGCAGGCCTTCTGTCTGAGCCTGAGCGTCTCCAGATAGAATGAGGACACCCAGCCCATTGTTGCCCAAAGAGCAGTTCATGTGAGCGTGGTGATTGTAGGGGTTCCCCAAAGAGTACTTTTCATTCTAGTAGTTATGTAATTATTTTAATGAGTATTAGGAAAAAAACGCAATCAGCACATAAATTTCGTGATTTCGAGGAAACTGGTGCTAAGTACAAGTGAGAAGGGGGGACGTGAGTGCATGTGAAGAAAATGTTAGTGAAACAGTCAGTACAAATGGCAGAAATTTGGAAGAGGCTGGGTGCTGATGATGCTGGTTTGGGACCCTTGGAGTGGTCGCTCTCTCAAGCACCTTCAGACCTGACATCTGCAGGCCACCCAATCTCCCTAGATTTCAGTCTCCCCCTGGTTGAAGGGGGGTGCCAGTCAGTAGCGAAGGAGGGTCTTCTCTAGCTTCTACTGGTGTAGCAGGGCCAGGGGAGCTCAGAGCAGGCACCAAGGGGCCCACGCCTGGAAACCCTCGACCTGGGACCCACCAAAGGGCACTATAGCGCAGTGGTCAGGGGCATAGACACGGGAGCCAGGCCGCCCAGGGCCCAGTCCCCGCGCTGCCTCTTCCAAGCCCTGTGAACTTGGGCAAATGAACCTGTCTTCGTTTCTTCGACCGAGAAGTGGGAATATTAGCTTATCTCGCAGGGTGTTGGAAGGGGTCGGTGTGCGTGTGTGAGTGGAACAGGGCCTGACGAGTAGTAAGTGCTCCGTGGTGTAGTTTGTAACCACTTGAGGGAAAGGAGTGTCTTCCCCTGCTGCTGAGAGGGCTCCCGTGGGCTCCCCAGGCACTTCGTGCAAGGAAACAGTATGGGATTCACCGCAGAGGTGAGGGTGACGAGGCAGAGGCTAGAACACAGGTCTCCACGCTTCTACCTCGTCTAAGTCAGTAAGCTCGGCCGGAGCTGGGCTCTTGCTTTGCAGAAGACTAAACTAGCTGGCTGTGTGCTAGGGCAAGCCCTGCCTCTCTGGGTGCCAGTTTCCGTGGCCTGGGCGGCCTCCAAGGGCCCCCTCCAGCTCTGGCACGAGGCAGTTTTGTGGAATAGCCTTCTGCGGCCCGGTAGTACCCAGCCCGGCAGTGCAAGTAAGCGTCCTGCCCAGCCCTGGAACCGTGTCCCTGGAGGGCCACTGCGCCCCGCTGAGTGCCCCATTCATCCCCAGGAGTGCCCAGTGATCACAACAGCTCCCAACACCCAAACTGGGGTCATAAAGCCACTCCAGAGAGAGGGTTGTCTTCCCCTAAGCATAAGGACCGCCCCCACGAGAAGAGACTCTCTGCGCCTTCTGGGGCTTTGCGCCCTGCACGCTCAGGAGGCATTTCCTAAGCTCTAATTCCAGACCGATTTCCATTTTAGAGGCTTGGAGCCTCCCGGCCAGCCCGGGCCAGGTGTGCCGTTCCCCCCCACCCCCGCCCCCCCCCCGTGCCCTCGGCCCTCAGCTGGGCAGGACCCTGAGACGATAGCATCTCCACTCGCCCTTGGCTCCAGCTGGAGCTGCATTTGTCTTGCTTGGACACAGCGCAGCCAATCACAGGAGGCCAAGAGTGGCCCTCTCTCCTCCTTGGGAGTGGATCCCAGATCAGAGGGGCCCCCACCCCCACCGCCCTCCTCCCTCCCCTTCTGGGTGTGTCGCCGTTTGAAGCTTAATCAGGAAAGTGTACCTGGCTCCTGGTGCTGTGGCAGGGAAGCCGGCCCAGAGGCTGCCGACGGCACCGCAGGGCAGGTGGGCAGCCCCGGAGATCCCTCTGTCCCCCTGAAGGCCCGCGAGCCACAGACCCCTGGGAGCAACAGCAGCAGTGCTGACGGAGTGCTCCCTGGAGAGGTAACTGTGCAAAGGTCGGGGCTGAGGGATGGGGCTGAGTTTTGTGCCGAAACAGCGTCGGCCCCACCCGGCCGGGGGGAGTGAGGCTGGGAACGGTTTACCCAGGGCTTAGTCACCCCCGATGGCTTTCCTCCCCAAAGGAAAGGAAGGCAGAGCTGAGCCACCTGCTGGCTGGCATAGCAGCGCCCATCACTGAGGGGAGCAGGCGAGATTAGCTGTGCTGCCAAGGGCTTTTCCACCAACTGGGAATTTTTCCGTGGACTTGATCTTGCGAGAGTCCGTTGCTACTGGGTTTAGCCCAATGCCTGATGCCTGCCAGTGTCCGGAGACTAAAGTATGGGTTTTCTGGGTGGAAATCAGCTGGAGGTAATGTCTCCTGGAAAGCAGCTAAAATGGGAAGGGTCTGGACAGGGGAGAGCTTGATCCTGTGCCTGAACGTGGGAGCAGGCTGGAGGTGGTACAGGGCAGTGGCTAGTGGCACGGCCTCTGGAGCAGACGGTCCGGGTCAAATCCCAGCTCCATCACTTAGTAGCTGTGTGACCACAGGCCATTTGCTTATCTGGGTCTCTGTCCCATCACCTGTGAAATGGGTCAGTAATATCTACCTCACAGCGCTGCTGTGAGAATCAAACGAGAGAAGTGCTTAGACCAGTGCTTAGCACAGAGTAAGTTCTACATAAGTTTCTTTTTTAATCCTGCTATTTCCTAGAAACGTGGTCTCACTGAAGCTCTCCGAGCCTCAGTTTCCCCGTCTGCACACAGGGAAGAAAAGTTAGCACAAGGGGATTAAATACGTTGCTAGCACGTGGTAGGTGCCCAGTAAATTGCAGACCCCTTCCCTGTGAAGTGAGCCAAGATTCTGTCCTCGTTAAAACACTGTCTTTCCTCCCTTCGGTTCCTGTGCTTTTTATCCTGCTGCCAGAGGAAGCAGTTTGGACTGAAAAGTCTTGTATTTTCAGGCACGGAAGGTCTGTGTAGCTGCTCCACCCCCCGCGTGAGACACACTACACGTGGCTCGTGAGCGCCTGCGTCCCCGCAATGCTCTGTGGATCACGTGGGCGGCGCTCACATATGACCACGCGCTTGGCCGCTGAATCGCCCCTCCACGTTTAGGCTCCTTCTGGGGCACCTCCCGGGTGTCAGAAGCAGCATTGGCCCTGCAGGATGCTGAGGTTCATGAGACACCATCCTGCCTTGCTCCTTGAGAGACCAAGATGCAAACCTGTAGCAAGGTCATCAGCAAGGTCATCAGCAAGCAGAGAGAGAGGTCCCCAAGCCTATGATGGCCAATGAGGGACCAACACGCAAGGGCTTTAGGATTCAGGGGAGAAAGAGAAAGAATAGAACAGAACGGGAGGGGCAGAGAAGTCTCCACGGACAAGGACAGACTCCAACTGGTTCCAGAGGAGGAGTTGAGTTTGGATGGGTAGAAAGGCAGGGGCTGAAGCTTCAGGAGGGGAGTGACCTGGGCATCATGGGGAGAAGGTAGCTGGTGTGGCAAAATGGGTCATACTGGAGGCGAGGGCTGATTTGGTGATGTGCTGAGACAGAAGATCGGAGGATGAGGAGGACAGCATACTGCTGAGGACCTTCAGTGCCGGGCAAGAGGGTGTACGCTTGTAAGAGTTATAAATTGTCTAGGCGGGGGGCAACACAATCGAAGTAACGTTTTAGGGGATAAACTGGTTCCGTGCATCTGGAGGATTTGCAGGGGCAGGACCAGAGCCTGGAGAGCAGTTCCCACCCACAGTGGCAGCAGCTGACCAGTCCGGCGGCACCCAACGACGCTCTCACCCAGGGCCTCTGGGACCCGCACAGTGACCCTAGGGAGTGAGTGCCACCGCTGTCCGCCACCTACAGAAGAGAAAATAGAACAGGGTGGCTCGGGCTGCTCAAGCTGGGAAGTGGCAAAGCCAGGATCCCAAGGCACAGTTGGCTGGGAGGGGCCTCAGGTTGGAACCTCAGACTTCTGTTCGGTGGCCCAAAGGGACTTTTTACCCATGAAATAGCCATCGCCTACGAGGGCAACTTTCTTCTGTGGCAGAGGGGGTGAGAGTCTCTTTTTCCTCTGTTCCCTGAGTCGGCAGTGATATGGGCCCTAAAGCCCAGGTCTCTGCCTGGGGTGGGTGCTGGGCCCAGGGCAGGAGGCCCAGGGAGGCAACTGCCACGCTCATGGCTGAGGTGGTGGTTCTGGAGAGCAGCACCCTTGGGGGCATCTTCCATGGTGCCCTCTCGGCCCGTGTGCCCAGCCTGCAACCAACTGCTCCCTATTGGGGGAAGCTCAGGCCCAGCTCCTGTTTCTCGGTCTGAGCTTTCCTCCAGAATTGCCTGGTTGATGCTCCCCATGCCTTTAAGGCATCCATAGGATGATTTTCCTTCCTCGTTTTTGTCTTTGAAATTAGCATCGATTAATCACAAGAGTTCAGAAATGCTCTTGAGCACCTGCTCTGTGCAGGTAATGGTCCGAGCAGGAATCAGAGTAACTTGCATTTGGAAGCAGTTGGTATTCCTTCAGCCAGGGGAATCAGCTTAAACACTGGGCTCCCTTCAAAATTTTGACCAGGGTCCCTTCCCTTTGCCTTTCATTCTGCAGCTGCCCTCCTGCAACCCTAACACCACCCCTACCCCCACCATGAGGTTGTTGGGCTCCTTTGAGCTCTTTCTACTCACACCCTCTCTGAAGGCTAGGGAAGGAGCAGTTTTGTCTGATGGTAAGATTTGTCCACCAAATCACATTAGTACTTATTGGTAGCTTTGGATCCAGAGGACTCCAAATGTCCTGGCTTCTAGACTGTAGCGTCTTTCCTCCCCGTTTTGGGTGTCACTGACAGCAGGGGACAATGGTGGGAGTGTGGGTAGACAGAGCAATGACTGGAATGGTCTTTCTTCTTTTGAATTTCGTTTTACTCATTCTCTTAGGCTGTTAAAAATGCCACCCCCGGACAAAAGGATGATGCCTAGCCAGTCTCAAGGTGTATGCCAGTTTCTCTTAAGTGCCAAGTTTAATATTTATCAGCTGTGTGACCTTAGGAAAGTTACTTTACCTCTCTGTGCTTCAGTTTCCTATCTGCAACATAAGGATAATAAGAGTACCTACCTTGTAGTGAGGATTAAATCACTGGCCGTGCGTGCGTGTGTGTGTGTGTGTGTGTGTGTGCAAGCACACCTATCTGTGTCATTTACCATAGTGGCCAAGATGGAGGAAATCTTGTAAGTTAGCTATTGTCCAGCCGTGCTCTGAATTCCAAGCTCTCAATGGCTCCTGAGCCAGCAGGTCACTGTTTCTGAAGGTAGATCTAGCGGGTCCCTTGGTGGTAAATGCAAGAATGTTCATTGCAGGCTTGAAAGGATATTTGAGAATCTTCCCGACCCCTTAGCTCTCACCCTTCCAACATGTAGAGAGAGATGGCACCCGATTGGTGGCCGCTTCTTTTAAAATGGCAATCACATAATTAATAATTATAATCCTTTTACATTTGTCTGGAACTTTGTAGTTCACAGAGTGATTTTACAAACTTACCCATTTGATCACCAAACAGATCAGGCATATGTTCCTGTCCCCACGTCCCAGTTCTGGGAAGTCAGGAGCTGAGCTGAGAGAGTAGCACAGTGCATTTTCCTTCACGTCATGCTGGGTGCCTTTACCTTCTCCTCTCAACTCCGTTTGCTTTTGCCTCTCTGGTGGGATTTCTCCCTATAAGTACTATGGTGAGTGGTGCTTACTCAGGAGCCCAGATACCTGGATATGAATCTCAGCTCTGTCCTGTACAGCTGTGTTACCTTGGGCAAGATGCTTAACCTCTCTGAGCCTTCTCGTCCTCACCCGTAACACAGGATACTGTCCGTGCTGGCCTCCTGGGGCTGAGGAGAGCACACTGAGAACCGTGTCTGGCACATAGGAGAGCGCTAGGTATGTGATGGGCACTGTTACCAACATGCAGTCTTTCCTGCGGCTGTCCTGTGCTGGGCCCCATCCCACAGCAGCTTCCTGGAAGGAGCTCAGGAGGTGTTTGGTGGGTGAACTGACAGACAGTGCTGGGCCCCATCCCACAGCAGCTTCCTGGAAGGAGCCTAGGAGGTGTTCGGTGGGTGAATTGACAGACAGCAGGACACATGCTGTATCAACCTGACCCAACTCTGGTAAATTGCACCCAAGCTGTGTGACACTGAGCAGCTCTCTTCACCTCTCTGAGCCTCCATTTCCTCTTCTGGAAGTAGAAGTGTGAGGGGGGTGAGGGTTACACAAGCCAGGGAGAGCAGAGCAGCAAGCAAAGTATCCGACGTCAGAAGGCACCTAATCCCCATCAGGCTTCCTTTCCCCACTCCTTTCCTCTCCTTGGAGATGCTCAGCAGAGTGACGCCATGCTTGAGCACATGTCTCCGTCAGCCCGCGCCAAAGGTCTGCAGTGCTGTTCTCTCGCTGGAAGTGGTGCACACAGGTTGCTCGGGAGCAACCAGAGCTTTCCAGAACCCGAGGCAGGAAGGATGGCGTGGCGGGCAGTGGGAGGCTAGACAGCTCTGGGGCTGAGGCCACTGCAGTGCTGCCTCGTCCCGTGCAGGGGTGGGGGCAGAGGGGCTGAAATCAGCCTGCACAAGCTCTGCTTCTGCCCAGAGGACAAGGCAGTTTCTAACCTTCCAAAGGCACAGTGTGGGCGTGTGGTCACTGGGCCTGGCTGCCCCTTCTCCTTGGTCAGATCCAGTGTCATATCATTGAGATTCTGAAATGATTATGTATGTTATACGTATATTTGGGGGTGTTGCATATGAATATGGTAGGAGTGGTGAGGTTATCCTTCTAGAAAGAGTTAGAGGCTATAAGACAGACTCCCAAGGAAGGTTGTGACATTTCTTACTTAAAAAAGACAAAGTACATATTTGTCCTGGAGATTTAAAGTACAATTCCCTGAAATGTATTCTATTTGATGTTAGCAGGCTTGAGGGAAAAAGAAGTGTTCTGAGGTCCATTTGGGAATTTCTGAGTTAACCAAAAACAGCTTTCT